TACTGCGGCACGTGAAGCTGAAGGTTGTAGCCGTCCGCAGATATAACAATCTTTGTCATATGCTTAAATGTTTAGAGTAAACACTGATGCAACTTATTCTATCTCCCCCACCACGGCTGCAGGCCCAAGCACGCAGGTAAAAATTTTGTTCCTTCAATGTTCGTAGGATAAGGGTGGTTAGTCTGTATTTGATCAGCTTTGATTATATGAGGAATTAAGTTCTTCACGTCAAAAGTTCATGATGCAATAAGTTGATAATGTGCTTAATTTGTATATACTAAGTTGTGTTGTTAAATGTTCGTTGGAGGAAAGCTCACAAAAAAATGTTCGTCGTGGAAAAAAGGCTGTAACGAACGTGTTCAATGCTCACCGTGATAATTTGGGTTTTAGGCACACCGACTACTTGGTCACTTAACGCCCTCGGACATGTTCGAACGCGAAAAGACACGTTCAAACGCAGACAACATCGAACAGAAAAACGCTATCATGCAATTGTTTGCACGCAAATGTTGGTTGTATACTAGCCCTATCAAACGCCCTTCGGAGGTAAAGTTCATGTGACAAAGGAGACAGAAACGTGCACGAGCTCGCATGCAGATGCACAATCCAAATTCAAATGGAGATTCCCACCCTTGATTACGAGGCTCCGATAAATAGTAACCACGGGGTACCGGTAGTGTAGTGGCTAAGCTGTACGTCCAGAGATACGGGTTTCGATTCCTCGCGACGTCCGCCCTTCTTGCCAGGATTAGAAACAGGCAACGTCATGTAGCTTGTATCCTACATATGCATACTGTGCACTATTATTTTGTATCTAAGTATTTTCAATTCCACGCAGCATATTTACGCAAAAAAATTGCGGCTTCACTTCTATCCAATTAACTCGATCCCTGGTGAACACTCGCCACCAAACGCTTGTGCTCGAACATTTCCTTACTTACGCCATTCAAACATGTGAACTTGAGCCTTCGTACGTCTGTCAAACAAACGTCATTTTTGACGAACATCCGCGTACGACCATTTGCGTATGAGCATGCGACCATGCATGAGCATAAACATGCGACATGCACGTGACCTTTTTCGCGTGAGAAAGGTCATTCCATTCTTTTCGTACCGCACCGGTATAAAAGTGTGTTTGAACGGGTTCGGTTTGGTAAGGTTAGCCATATAGGAAATACTACTCACGTCATCCAGAGCACAACATATGTCGTTCATTGGTTAACTCACGTTAGGTTACGCTGAGCTAGGTTCTGTCACGTTTTAAGGTGCTCTTTAAAAAACATGTTTTTCTTCTGAAGGTTGTTTGATTAGAGCCTGGCTCACATCCTGCCCAGAATTGTCCGAAGCCACACTTAAAAACGTACCCCAGACTTAGTTTGAAACTCACAGTCGAATTGTAGACACTATATTACCATGCGCAGGCCAGACAGTAGCCAAATCTGAGATGTCATGGGGCTTGATTTGGTACACGCAGAGGTCGATTTGTCTTAGAACACCTCCCTCCCGAAGGCACATTAACACTTAATTAGCTATTACCCGAGTTCAGTTCAGTTCATTGTATTCACGAATGATCCCAACAAGTGGCCTACTGTTTGGTTCAATACAAGTACAATAGTAGTAATTTAATGTTAAAACACGGCAGCAATGCGACCATATTTGCACGTTACCAACCATCACTCACACAGCTTAGTCAAAACGACATCGTTAATCTAAATCTAACTCGTCAACACATGTTACACAACGGCTTGCAAGCGATGATCACACAACGCAACTGTCTAAATCCTCCGGCCTGGTGCGGAATTCACTGCGGGTGCGAGAGGCAATGATGGTCGGCGGCAGGCGGCCCAGGAAGAGGTTGCGTGATACAAAAAGGCCCTGCGTGCCACCAATTGGCGAGGAGCCGGCAGATCAGCGCGCCCGCCGCTGCCACCCGGGTGGCACGCTGCAAGTGCGGCAAGCGCGGCAAGCAAGTGCGGCAAGCGGCAAGCAGTTGCGGCAAGCGGCAAGTGCGGTGAACGGGGACCAGATCACCACCGGGGCCCGCAAGTCATTAAGAGCCCTGAATACTCAGCGAAGCCGTCACGGTGGGTAACAAGGTCACTAACACCGCGCCAGCCCAGCGCTTGAGCAGTCGCCGCTGAATCTCTCCGACAAGCATCGGTGACAAACCTGGCCCAACATTTATCACTTCATACACCCTGCTGAGGTGTGACGCTGCAGCCCCACTCCAAGAAGAGAGGCAAAATAGAAGTTGAGGGAAACATGCGACTGGATGAGAAGCTCATAAAATTTGGGCGTAAGGCGATGACAAATTTTATACAAGCAGAATAGGATGGAGTTGCACTTTTTGACAGCTTGGGACATGTGCATCTCCCAGGAAAGTGTAGTCTCAATAGAAACCCCAGCGTCTTCACAGACAGGGCTTCATTTATGTCCCGCGACGTCAAGGTGAAAAGGTGAGATTTCAGGGATTATAGACCGCCAGCAAAGAGAAGAACTGTTTTGGTTGGATTCATTTTAAGGGAGTTTGACGTGAGGCAGGATTGAATCACTTGATTTATTTCCTCCTGTCGCGATTTCAAAACGGATGGTCGGTCTGGATGAGTAGAATCGAGCAATTGGGTGGCGTTGGCATAGGACACTGGACGTTCGTGAGGGAGGTATGATGGAAAGTTGTTCGTGAATGTGCTGAAGAGGATGGGGCCGACCAAGGATCCCCGGCGGACGCCGTGAGTCAGCGGAAGAGAGAGAGAGACGTCCACCTCTCTCCACCTGCCGCCAACCAGTAAGATAGCTCCCAAACCACTCCAGGTCAATGCCATAGCACTGCAGCTTTGTCGGACAGACACCATCAAAGTCGACTCTATCAAAGGCACGGCTTAGACCAGTGGAGGTGACGGCAACAATATGTGCCGCGTCAATCCGACCTACCACCCACTCGACGGCATCGACCAGAGCGTCCTCTGTTATGTGGCAAGGTCTGTAAGCGTATGGTGTCGGAGCTAAAAGATCATGGGTAACGAGGTAGGACGATAGCTGCATGCACACACCTTTTTAATGTATTTTTGAGAGTCCAGGCAATATTTATATAGGCCTGAAATTGCTAGCAATGTCACGAGGGCAAGATTTGTGAAGAGGGATGACAGAGGCAGCCTTCCAGGAATCTGGAAAAACACAAGATGCGGCCGAGATGTTGATGAGATGAAGCAAATTTTATAACAGGGAAACACTCATGTAAGGCATGCAGTGGCACGCCGTCAAGTGCCGCCGCCCTGGATGATGGCAGTTCGCTCACATCCCTCGATAGTTCGGGCAAAGACGTAGGACGCAGTCTTCGACTGGCAGTGGTCATACACGGTGGCCCAGGTGAAAGAGGGGGACCAACAAAGCTACCCGCTGCCATTTCATCAGCAAAGCGTGGACCGACGGAAGCAAAGGGCCGTTTAAATTCGTCGGCCTTTTCTACGGGCAGGCTCTCAGTGCCACCCCCACCTCCCTTTGGTAGCTGAAAAACGAAGTTTTTGATGCCTCGCGAGAAACTATCACGGCCATTGAGCATGGCATCGCACAAGAAACCACGCCTCGACCTCGCAAAGTGGCTTTTCACTCGGTTCCAGAGGCGTCAGTAAGCCTGTGTGAGCTTCGCCCCGAGACTCGCGACATACTCGGTACGCGTCATCACACTGCCGCATCAACTGTCGCAGTTCAGGGCTGTGCTCAGGCCATGGACAGTGGAAACGATGACGGGGAGATACAGTTGTAAAGGGGCAAGGCGCGTCCACCACACGCCACCACACAGGCATGAGCTCGGGCACTTCCTGCTCCACTTCCTCATTCCGGTAAATAGGATTCCAGTCCAGCTGCAGATCAAGGCAGAGCACATCCCAGTTTACCTTGCGCTACGGGCGCCTGGTGAAGAGTATCGGGCGACAGCGGGAGCGACTGAATGGTGCGCGGACAATAATGGTCAAATGGTCGGCGGTCGGCTCCATTTATTGCTTGGACAGGTGACTCCAGGTCAAGAATGTTGGTGGTGATGCCATCTAAGAGAGTCTCCGTCGGGTCCCAGCGCATAGGTGTTTTGATGAGTTGGAACAGACTGAGGTCGTTCAAAATTGAGCTATAACGACCCACACCCGAGCTGTCCGCACGCAAAAGGTCACTGCCCGTGTCGGCCAGGTAGAAGGTCGGCTTGCCCAGGCTCACAGCAGTATGTAGTGACCGTCCGACACCGGCTGAGACGGTGAACGGTAGATGATGCCCAGTAAAAGAAGCGATGCTTGCCGTCCGAAGATGAAACCATGAGCGGCTCGCATGCACCTCCTGTGCTTGTAATTGGGCGGACGCCAATGGCGAGGGTTCCCCGGCATAGGATGGCAACACCACCGCCTCGGGTTGTATCGGGGTCCCCTCAACGCATCAATATATACCCGGAAAATAACGGCATTTTGTCTGTGACAGGATCTGATAGTCACCGGTCAGCCGACGGTCAATGTCGGTCGGTCAAAATATGCAAGCATTGACCAGACGGTCAACGTTTGCCTATTTTTGCATACATGCTGGCATTAAATAAATGCCATCCGCTCCAAATCCGCATATTTAGAAATGCTTATGAACAACGGCGTTCGTATTTCGAGCGGCATTGTTCGAGCTTCGTGCTTCGAGTTTCGTGAGTTCGTACGCACGGACGTTGTACTTTTGCATTATAATTTTCTCCCGGCTTATGATTTTTCCCGATGAACTTGCGTCATTTCGATATTTTGGATGCGTTTCTGATGCCATAGATGCACTTCATGATAGGATTTTGGGCACAAAATATCGCATGACAGCAACTACAGGCAAACTGAACGGAAGTGATTAAAGGCGTTTGAAAAGAAGAAATTAAAATTAAGAAGCTAAAACGAAAAACCTTCACAAAATAAGGTTTGGCAGCAATTCAAATGTGGTAGCTTCATGAAAATATGGCGCACTTGATACGAAAACCAGCCATATCACAGTTCGTAACTTGCAATAACGTCTCGTATGCAAAGCTTTGGGTCCGTTTTATTTTTATGCCAGGCTTAGTGACAAAAGTGAGAGTAACTGGGAGAAGCCACCTCTTAAATCGCAGCTATTGGAACATTGAATAATAGCCCGACTGCTGACCATTTTTTGTTGTAGGACGTAATGATCTCGACCCAGCTTCTTTCGTAGCATTCATGCTTCCTTTCTAACCACATATTTTAAGCAGAAAATAAAGTCGGAAAAATGTTTTCTGGTTTAAGCACTTGGACCGAAGTATGAAATGGACTTAAATCTCTGTGTGTGATGATAATGGAATGTTTAACCAATTAATCATGGCATATTATTCAGATGGAACCACTGCAATGGGCACAATGAGTAAAGTGTGCCTGGAAGATATTCGTCTGGCTTACCAGCGCATAAAACTGCATGTTCATAGAACACCTGTCATCACAAGTCAGTATTTCAATGAGCAGTCAGGACGGCAGCTGTTCTTCAAGGCAGAGAACTTACAAAAGACTGGCTCCTTTAAAGCCAGAGGGGCATGCAACTGTGTAAGTGGTTTGTTAGCATGAAACTGTTAAATGATCATGTTGGTTGTATGACTTACAACATTAAAGGACAGTTATAACTTTTGCTATTTTGTTGTGTTATAGACAAAGCTACATTAGGGACCAAATTGACCATGAAAACAATGCACCAATATTTATCAAGTGTTTTTGGTTGTCAAATGATTTGCAAAACAGTAATAACTGGTACAAAACTGAAGAAAGAAGTGGAATACAAGTGATACAAATGCCATAGTTAACAAAATATACAAGGTTAGGAAAAATAAATCCATGGCATACAAACAATTTGTGATTAAATGAATGTAGAAGCAAGTTTTACAAGCAAGGGTTTCATGAAAATGATAAATCTTAAGCATTGGTTTCATGCCACAAAATAGTTATGGAAGTATGTCCTTACCAGAGCATGCTGCAATAGTCAGTAAAGGATTTTTCCCATGGGATGACCTGTGTCGGAAGCGGTGTCAGCAATTCTTACAATAAGACATCCTGCTGTCATGACTTTTGTTATCAATGATAGGGATTGAGAAAGGTAAATTGTAAGCATTTTGCTTTGAACACAAGGTGACACAAGTTAAGAGACCAACTTGGCAGATGCGCTGTCAGAAAATATGCTGCTGTGTGGGAGTCATCATCATCAGCTGCTGCTTAAGTGTTTATAGACTGGCATGCATACTTTTAAATCTATGTGAGAACAGTAACAGGACAGCAAGATTGAAGCTGATCTGGTAACAGTGTGTGTTTGTATGTGTGTGCTCTGATGGCAGGTACTGTCAATCAAGGAGAGAAACCCCCTGGTGTCTGGCGTTGTCACCCACAGCAGCGGCAATCATGGACAGGCCACCGCTTATGCTGCACGTTAGTATTCAGTAGGGGCCACCAAAGTATGGAACATTAAGCTGGTACCTTGTGTTGCTGTTTGTTGGGGCATCTAACAGTTATGACCTCACTGTCATTGGCTCCCTCTTGCAGATTCCGCGACCACAGAAAAAATGACATGATCACATATGAGGTGATCATTTCCATTCTTAGGATGGAGCTTGTCAAATAAAATTGTAAAAGATGGGGAATGTGCATGCAAAACATTGGCACTTCTGCGGTTTCTGCCCTCCCCCCACCCCCCCCCCCCCCCCCCCCACCCCATCTGGCTGGTCTGCCGCCGTGCCGGTGGTGACGCCTCCTCGCGCCGCAGGTTCCCCCCCCCCCCCCCATCTTGCTGGTCTGCCGCCGTGCCGGTGGTGACGCTTCCTCGCGCCGCAGGTGTGGCCGGCCTCGCCTGCACGGTGGTGGTGCCCCGCGGCACCTCTGAGGTCAAGGCCGACGCCATCCGCTCGTACGGCGCCGAGCTCATCTACTGCGAGCCCACTCCGCTGTCCAGGTAGGCGGAAGGCGTGACGGACTGCGGGCGCCGCCGGGCTGTTCGCTGTGGTCGTCATATCCGTTGGTCCCCCCACCCGCACCCCAGCTATCGGTCTCACCCCTTCTCCCCCCCCCCCCGCTCCGAATATGCCGGGCGAGCACTGGCGACACCAGGCGGCGAGAGAATGGCACCTGCCGCTCTTGCCTGGTGTCCGTGGACTTGATACCCGCTATCACATCTCAGCCATTCAGCCACTGTCCTGTGTTGGCCATCTCCCGAGTCTGGGCTTTCCATATAGACCTCGCATGCATCAACGAACCTCCACCCGGCACCTTTTCCAGATGTCGTCCTGTTGTTAGGCATATCCAACGACCAGCGCATTCCTCCTTCATCACGTGGCGCCCTCTCACTCTTCTCTCACATAAGTCAAGCACGGCACACCTGTCTTCCAGGGGGCGTCTTCACCCCAAGCATCTCTTCGCTGGCGGGTCACGTAGGCAGAAGCCCTCAGTTACGTGACGTTAACCCGACGGCGGATGTAAACGTTCCGTGTTATCGCACGCGGACCTCAGCGTAGACAAACTGTGTTTGAGTGGCCCGCAAATGGGCTTGTAGCGAGCCCAGCACATCGTCATCTGATGCAGGAATAAACACGCGTCCGCTCGATGAGAGGCAGTGAAACCCGCACTTGCCGCTCCCACTCGTCAGCTGCTCGGCCGCTAACGCTCCCGACTGACGCGCCGTTCGGTCTCGGCAGACACGAGACGTGCGCGGCAGTGGCGGCGGAGACACGGGCCGCCGTCGTGCACCCGTACGACGACTACGACACGATCGCCGGCCAGGGCACCATCGCTCTCGAGCTGCTGGAGCAGGTGCGAGCCGGCCGTGACGGGTCGACTCCGGCGACGGCGGCCCCGGTCAGGCGCGGGCTGACCTGGCACGTCGGCGCAGGGCTGGGAGCCGCCAGCCACTGTTACAGGGCGGGCACCCCTTGAGTCTGGCGTAGGGTGTTTTACGTTAAAGATGGGTTTGTAGTCAAGGAGGCAGAGTTTGGTGTTCGCGGCTGCCCTCGTGGTGAATGCGAGGCTGTGGTATTATGCAATGTTAATGGATTGGCTTCTCAAAATGCATCTTAAGTGTGATCGAATAAGCCTCTAACCGTCAATACGATCAGAGTGCATTTGTTCCTCCTTCATAATATCACAGTCCGCGAATGGGCAGAAGTGGATAAAAGCACTTGTGGAAAGGTTCGAAAGAAATTGGCAGTCGCGCCCGTTCCCCTTTCACCCTCCTCCCTCCCCGACCCGGCATCCAGCGGCCGGGACATGACGGCGCTCTGCGCGGACAGGTGCCGGACCTGGACGCCATCTTGGTGGCCGTCAGCGGAGGAGGCATGATCTCCGGCATCGCCACGGCGGTCAACGAACTCAGGCCAGAGTGCAAGGGTGAGCTCGTCACAGCTGCGTTAGGTGATCTGTGTGCACGTTAGGTGATCTTTAGGCAGACGTAAGATGCCTGCTTCGTTCTAGTTACAATAGTGTGTGCGCAAAACTCAATTTTGTCGTCCAAATCTATGCACTCTGCGCAAAATACGCCGACGGATAACTCCTCTCCAATGTCCATGTCTCCTGTTCATAAGCAGACAGCAGTCGTGAATCTGTCGTATGTTGATCAGCGTGACGAGCATTGAAACAGCTGATCTCTCCCTCTGTGTTCATCACCAATCACTGCTGACCACCAGTCGGTATAGCCTGTTACTTGAGCTATGTCGTGTAAGGCCCGTTCGACCATGACATGCCCCGTCCACGTCTCTTAAATGCACCTTGACCCCATATTTCCAGTGATCCCCATGTAATATGTAGTGGCCTGAGATGATCAACACTTGCCTCGGGTGTGCAGTGGTATAGTCTGATTAGGATTTTGTTATATTCTAACTTATTGAAGGTAATGACACCCCCCACTCAGCCTTCGTCCTCAGCCTGCAGTGAGCAGCATTCACCCCCCGGATAATGTGGTGCGGATCAGCCGCATGCATGGTGACCACTACAGAGCATACGTGGCACGTTCCACCAGTATGTACCGTTCAAGTCAGTGGGCTGAGCCGGAATCCTGCAGCAACGCGCACTCAGAGATCTCCAATGACCAGAGGCTGGAAGTGATCTTTCTGGGGCCTGCCTTGACCTGTGCCGGTGACGGCGCTGTGGCCTGGTGCCGGCAGCAATCGTGCTGGGCCTGCCATGACCTGCGTTGGTGACGCCGCTCTGGCCTGGTGCCGGCAGTGATCGCTCTGGGGCCTGCCATGACCTGTGCCGGTGACGCCGCTGTGACCCGGTGCCGGCAGTGATCGCTCTGGGGCCTGCCATGACCTGCGCTGGTGACGCCGCTGTGTACCTGTGCCGGCAGTGATCGCCGTGGAGCCGGACGGCAAGCACCTGGGGCCGAGCCTGCGCGCCGGCCGCCGGCTCTGGCTGGACCCGCCGCGCTTCATCAGCACGCTGGCCGACGGCTGCACGACGCAGCAGTGCGGCCGGCTGACGTTCCCGATCCTGTGCCGCCTGGTGGAGCCGACCGTGCTCACCGTCACCGACGACCAGATGGCGGCGGCCACGCGCCGCTTCTGGCAGCGCGCCAAGGTGGGCCGATGGCGGGAGAGTGCTCCGCCGCAGGGTGCGACTGGGCGGGGGTGTCGATCAGGCCCGGGAGCGGCGTGGGCGGTGTGTGACTCGCCGGGGAGCGTGTGCGGTGGGTGTGCGGAAGCCCTGTGTGAACAGCTGGAGCTGACGTCGACGGTGATGCGTGGTGTATGGATATGTGCTCACGCCTGCACCTGGCTGGGCCATGGGCGGTGCGGCCGCTCACGCGGGGCTTTATGCTGAGTAAGCGTGCAGCGTGCGGAGATCGAGCCTGGAGCAGGGACAACGGCCAGCCGCCCTCGCTCCTGGTTGGTGGACACGTAGTCTTTCTAAGCTAGCATTTTTATAGCTGTGAGGTAGCCACGCGGTCTGGATGATGGACCGATCCAAAATATTCATGTTTGTGACCAATGTCACACGTCTGGTTGTTCTGAGGTTTCTGAACGCGTTGTGAATTCGATCCATTCTCCAGGCAAACTCAATGAAGCACGCTTCTCCGGAAGCCCCGTGTACCAGCCAGAGCATCTGTGCCTGGGTCGAGGGGTCTGGTGTCCATAATCCTCGCGGGCTTCTTCCACGGTCTCTCAGCATTCAAAGCGTGTCAACCCTCACCGTACGTACGCCGCCAACTGACCTATCGGCGGCCACCCTCCGGCGCAGCACGTGATCGAGCCGTCGGCGGGCATGGTGGTGGCGGCGGCGCTGTCGGACCAGCTGCCGGCCGAGCTGCGGCGCGTGGGGGTCGTCCTCTGCGGCGGCAACCTCGACCTGGACCGGCTGCCCTGGCTGTCGGCCGGCGGCGCGGCGCCCCATGCGCTGGGCTAGCTGCTGCCGATGGTGGGCCGGGCTCGGACGCAGCTGTGGGAGAAGCTGCCGCCGTCGGAGAATGGTGGTGTGGCCTCAGCTGTGGAAGAGACTGTCGCCGTCGGGGGATTGAAGTTGTGGCCTCAGCTGTGGGAGAAGCTGCCGCTGTCGGGGACTGATGCTGTGGCGTCACTTGTGGGAGAAGCTGCTGTCGTTAGGGAATAGTATTTTTACCTCAGCTGTAGGAAAGGCTACCGCCGCCGGGGAATGGTGCTGTGGCCTCAGCTGTGGGAGAAGCTGCCGCCGTTACGGAATGGTATTTTTACCTCAGCTGTGGGTGACGCAGCTGCCGCCGGGAAGAGCTGTGTGGGAACCTGGGCCGTATCACGGCGTAATTCCAGCCTGGTTTGCTTTGTAAATGAGTGGCGCATGTAGCCTAAAGGGCTTGATAGGGGAGAGGGGAACTGAGCTGATTTAGCACTGAACCTAGGTTGGTTGTTAGGAGCTGTCTCAACGAATCACTGTTATGCCCACATTGCCATCAATTGGACGGTGTTTATATGGTTTACTCGGGTTGATGCAATTGGTCCTGTCAGAGGCTTTTGCCATTTTGTAATACTCATTTTTGCAATCAATATTTTCACCCAGTTGGCATGTTCCTTGATACCGTTTTAAGCATCGTGTGCGTGTGAGCAGTCGTCAGCACAGCGATACACTGCACGCGGAATACACTGACTCAGGGCTGCTTGGCTGGTATGTACCGCCCCACCAGTGGTCTTCCGTCGTGATGCAGCGAACTTATCCCAGGCAGAGAGGCGATCGCGCCCGACCCATCAGACCGGATTCAGGCGGTTCAGGTCGGCTGCCGCACAAGCGACGAGCAAGCTTTTTTTCGACAAATCCCTCACAACTGGTGCAAATATACAATGAGTGATAATCCACGCCATTTATTACAAAAATAGACACCGATCCACGGTTCACTTCTAACTATATGTGCACGTGAGTATGCGTCAAATGTGGAATCACCAAATTTATCTACCTGGAATGAAACCCATGGCGGTCGTTTCCCCCGGCCGCGGATGTATTCCGAGCCAACGTGCTTCGCAAGATTCAGTCCCCCGTCAAAAGTTCTCAAAACGCGGACATCCAGCACAACTGGCTCTGACAAGTCTTCATCAAACCGCGACAGGATCTAAATGCAAAACCTATGCGTCTGTTAGTCTGGAAGTGATGACACATAACAACACACTAAACAGGCAGCTCCGAAAAACACCACTCTCGCCCGCCCGCGGGCTGCACCACCGCGACCTATCGCTAGATCAACACATCGGTAAAGCTGGATGCTGAGACACCGGCTCAACACTGCACAAGCAAACACAGACACGGCGGCGGGACACGCCGACATAACACAGGCGCGTCTCACCGGGCACGCCCAGCGAGAGGTGCGCCGCACTGCCGCCTCTGACTGCGCCGCGCGGGGCGCCGTCTGGCTGCCTTGTGCGAGGTGAGAGTGCGAGACGCATGGCGCACGAGCATTACAGCGAAGTACAAATACGGGCACCCGCCACCGGACGCGGCGGGGCCTTACGCACCACCCACCGCCTGGTCGCGAACGGCAGCTCGTAAAACGAAGCCCACTACTCTTCTGGCAATGGTCAGATCTAGAAGTGCCCTCCGCCACCCACTGAAGCGCTCTGGTGCTTCTCGAATGGCAGGCACCACAGGAGCGCGGCGAGGCACCGTACCGGCCCGGGTCGCCGAGCGGCGACGGCGCGACAGCAGTGTCATCGCGCACGCGACCGCGCGCCGGCCGGGCTCGGGGCAGCGCTGGCCCGGCAGCCTGGTGGGCGCGCACAGACGCCGGCGGCGGCACGGTCAGCGCCGCGGTCTGAGGTGCAGGCCCCCCCCCCCCCCCCCCGTCAGGAGCCGTGGTGGGAGCCGTAGGAGAAACGTTCAGCTGATATGCATGCGAGAAAGGGGGGGGGGGGAGGTCGGGGAAGGAAAGACGAGACGGAAGTGCGAGGTATGGCATCGTGAGGGAGACCAGTTTAGAGATATGTCATCGCGAGAGAGACCGGCCTGGTGATATGACACCGCGAAGGAGACCGGCCTGGTGATATGGCATCGCGAGAGAGACCGGCCTGGTGATATGACACCGCGAGGGAGACCGGCCTGGTGATATGACACCGCGAGGAAGACCGGCCTGGTGATACTGACACCGCGAGGAAGACCGGCCTGGTGATACTGACACCGCGAGGGAGACCGGCCTGGTGATATGACACCGCGAGGGAGACCGGCCTGGTGATATGACACCGCGAGGGAGACCGGCCTGGTGATATGACACCGCGAAGGGGACCGGCCTGGTGATAAGACACCGCGAAGGGGACCGGCCTGGTGATATGACACCGCGAAGGGGACCGGCCTGGTGATATGACACCGCGAAGGGGACCGGCCTGGTGATATGACACCGCGAAGGGGACCGGCCTGGTGATATGACACCGCGAAGGGGACCGGCCTGGTGATATGACACCGCGAGGGAGACCGGCCTGGTGATATGGCATCGCGAGAGAGACCGGCCTGGTGATATGACACCGCGAGGGAGACCGGCCTGGTGATATGACACCGCGAGGAAGACCGGCCTGGTGATACTGACACCGCGAGGGAGACCGGCCTGGTGATATGACACCGCGAGGGAGACCGGCCTGGTGATATGACACCGCGAGGGAGACCGGCCTGGTGATATGACACCGCGAAGGGGACCGGCCTGGTGATAAGACACCGCGAAGGGGACCGGCCTGGTGATATGACACCGCGAAGGGGACCGGCCTGGGGATATGACACCGCGAAGGGGACCGGCCTGGGGATAAGACACCGCGAAGGGGACCGGCCTGGGGATAAGACACCGCGAAGGGGACCGGCCTGGGGATAAGACACCGCGAAGGGGACCGGCCTGGGGATAAGACACCGCGAAGGGGACCGGCCTGGGGATATGGCAAATGTGCGTTGCGAGCAATGATAGGAGAGAACTCGAGGGTGTGCACCGTCGAAGGAGGCTCAACAGCTTCGTGGTTGGTCAGACTCGGGGCAGAGGGTACTGCCGAACACCATAATCAGCCGATGAGCGCACGGCGACAATAAGACAGCGCAGTCATGTTCACAGGCACCAGTCAGCGTTAGTGATGGTACTAGCTGTGATCCAGCAGACGCCGACGAACGCCGGGAGAGTAGCAACTGGTCCCGACCCGACATACTGGAAAAGGCGTGTGCTAGACATCGACGCGGAGTTGGCGACTCCTCTAGACGTGCCACACCGACAACATCTGACACAGTGCCCACTGGACACTAGACAGCTAGTGACCACGCTTCGGACGTCCAAAACATCAAGCGGAGAGGATGAACGGACCGCTCCGCGCTCGTAACGCGCGGCCCGGGCCACACTAATGCACTGTGCCCACGGAAAAACGCCTCCAAACGCTTCCACTACACCTGCTCTATCGACTCGCTATTGCAAAAAGCAGGCGCGCGCGGCGGTACCCGCCCTCGCCTGTGCGTCTCACAGGTACTTCTGTGCCGTCCGCCCGCGGCCCGGCTCGCGCGCCGGAGCCGGCGGCCCGGTGTGCCTCAGGATGCTACTGCCGCCGCAGCCGCCGCTGGCGGCGGAGGCGGCGGAGGACCCCGCCGCTCCTCCTGCATCAACTTCATCACCTCCTCGTAGGAGGGCGGCAGGTCATGGCCGCGCGGCGGCAGCGCCACCTCCAGGCCAGAGTCGACCTCTTCGAGCGCCAGCGAGCCGCGCGGTCGACGCCGCCGCCTGCGCCGGCCCAGGGCGCTCAGCCGCTGCTTGCGCACGTGCATCATGGTCTTGACGGCGACGAGCAGGCCCAGCAGGATGAGCACGGGTCCCAGCAGCCAGGTCTGGCGCGCCGTCATCATGTCCAGCGACATCGGCCCCGGCCACGACGAGCTGTCGGCCGAGGCGGGGTCATTGTGACGCAAAGGCCGGTACACGCCCCAGCCAGGCCCGCGGCGCAGCGGTGGCTCAAGGTCAGCTGGTGAGATATGAGGTCTTGGCACACAATACAACCAACTTCTAGTGTAGAGTTGTCACGCCAGAGTGGGGTTATTTGTTTGGACATCTTATGCCCTGTCCATACATGATGAACTGTGATCATGCACAAAACATAACCTAATCATGGAAGACCAAATTTCGGGTCAAACAAACAACAACCAACAGCCTGGCAGTTGGCAAACCAGAAATAAATACGTGACAGTGTGGACGTCCCAACCTGTCCCCTGGTCCTGTCATCCTGCCCACCTGAAGATGAAGGTGATGGCGATGCCAGAGAAACAGAGCACAGCACAAAGCCCTGAGTAGCAGCAGGTGGTGAAGTCGCAGCAGACAGGAATGTCCTCCACTGTCGGTGACTCAGTGTATGGAGGAGACGGCTCCATGGCAGCTGGTGGCTGGCCGGGAGGGCCCCACCACCTGGTGCACAGCTTCACCACCTGCCGGCTGGCTACTGGTCCGCTGAAATGCACCACCCAGTTTGCTTGACCACAGCCACAAGACGAATGACTGCAGGAGCATCAGGGTGGGGTGGTAGGCTTGCACTTTGGAGATGGGATTGCAGGAGTTCCCAGTGAGGTGGTGGGTTTGTTCTCCGGAAATGGGACTGCACAAGCAATGGGGTGAGGAAGTGATTTTGGGTTTGGAAGACAAGGAGGGCTTGCCATCTGCAAGTGGGACTGCGGGAGTGTCAGGGTGAGGAGGTGGGTTTCTCCTCTAGAACTGAAGAATGTCAGTGCAGGATAATGTTCAAACCAGTATAAATAAGATCCTATGGCACTGAGAGCACCTAAGTGATGCAGCTTCTGAAGTATGACTGCTTCTCAGCTTTAATCCTGGTATGTGTGGTACATGGTCTTGCAATTGGCATATTAAGTGGTTCATGATGCATTATTGGCATGATACTTACTCCAGGCAAATCAAGTGTTATATTGGAATCAAAACTATGCTGGGGTACCTTGCATTGGTTTTATCACAATGCTATGAACTGTATTCAGGTGTTAACTCTAGTGCATGCTTTTCATCACTTATCTTTTAAAAGATTTAGTCCAAATCCTTTGAATGGTTGGATTTCTGGTGTCATAGTCCATATAGTTAAAGTTATAGCTATGTAGTCATAGTTGAGAAGTTATAGTTGAGTTTCTATGGTTAGACCTAATTATGCAGTGTTTGTTCAGTAAGATCTGACACAACCACCAAATCATGAAATCCGCAGTGAAGGGGAAATTTGATGGTGAAAGTTAAACATGATGTCGAATATTGTCTCCATCCATCCTGCCCTCTCCTGTCATCTGACCTTAAGTTTGGCTAATACCACCAGCCATCCCAGTCACCAGCAAACAGTAAGCACCTAAAATGGCTTCAACATGAGCAGGAGTTGTAAATATCTGAGCTATCAAGACAATGGTAATCAAAATCAAATGAAATCACACCACTAAACTGTGAAGACAAGATCAGGGAGCAAACCAAAGGCTCTGATAAGCATGTGATCTGACACTAGAGGTGCAATCATCAGCAATTTGAAACAGTGATAACAAAAGCTAACAATTCTGTAATACTGTCTTAATTTTATAGCACCAGTAAGCACCAAGTCCAAACATGCATATTAAGTTTGCATCTCCTATAAACTGGACTTAACTTCTCCAACCTCTGCTTGTTAGTTCATACAGAATAAGCACTGGAAGTGGTTAGCATTGATCAGTCCTGGTTGCTCAATGTATACATTGTTATAGTGGATGTAGTGCATGTTCATACCTTGACACAAACTTGATAGGGGCAGATATTCTTTCAGACCTTAAGACATTAATGCATGAGAATACACATGTTATTCAGCCTGCAAGGCCAAAGCTGTGAGGGGAAGAGACCACTGGACCATACCAGGAGACCAGAAGAGAAGAGACCAGGGGAAGGTGAGGCCATTTACCATATAATCTTGACAAGTGAAAATCAGGGATGGAACTTTATAAAAGTATTGGTGGACTGCAATCAAGATTTGGAAACAAGAGGCCCCAGGATTATATGCCACCTATCTAATCATTTTAGCTTTGGGTTGAAATGTTACTGAGTATGGACACAGCTCAACATTCTGGACAACTCTCATATGACCGGACAACACACATATACAGCCCTAGATAATGTAAGCAGCTTTCACCATAACACCCTACTTGCTACAAACATTCCTGGCTCTGAGGACACTTCAAAGTGCTTTGCCATAATCTAACTAATATTGTTACATCCTGTAAGCGATTTCCTGACAGGGTTTATTTACGCTTGGCACGGCTGAGCCCCTTGCTAGAGCTGTCCTGCCGCGTTAGATCCCCCGCATTCAAGGCACACACCATCCCCGCACGATTTTTGAGTACACGACCGTGACGGACAAATCCGCATGCACGCACCCCTGGACTGTCTTACACGGACTCTCAAAGCCCAATAACCTGGGCCCCTCCCATCCGAGTTCTCACCCGGGCGTATGCCGAGGTGGTTTGTTTTCGTGGCCGATGAATTCGCCCGAGGGCGGCATCCAAGGTCGTACGCCCAAAACCAAGCTAAAGCGGCGCACGACGCAAGTCGCTGCTACCAAATCGCACTGGGCTCGAGTTTATGGAGTGATTCTGTCCCTGATTCGACTCAGGTGCAAAGTTTGATTTCCTGTGCCGACCAGTCTCTGCTGGTGGACCGGATGTCTTTTCGCCGGGCGAATTTTCGCGAAGAGAAATGCTTTTGCGCGAGAGGTGGGTCTGGGTAGCCACCGCCGAAATGGCAGCCCTAAATCTCTACGCACCACACGTAGCCAAATCACGGGGCGGGGAAAACACGGGCACACATACGGAAACGTTGAACGGAACATCGAGAACAACAATGGCTCACCGCGACGCAGCAACGGAAGGTGCCACCGGGCATCAAAGCCGACGTAGCAAGAGAATGTATTGGTGCCAAATCCAGCTCCATCACGACAGTACAAAACGTGTCGGCGCGGCCGCTCGCGCCGTCACGCCCGCCACGGTTCGGCCCAGACTCTCCGCGCCGGCGGCCGGCGCCCGGCGGAGGTGGCGCCTGCTTTGAGCACGGCCTCCGACGCCGACGGCACCCACGCCCAGGACGGGTTTCCCCGACGGCTGCACTAGCTACACCTCATGGAGTTTTAGATCCCCATGCCGATCGGGCGTCCCGGGCCGCCGGCGGCGCGCGGCGCCTCGCTTATCGCTACACTGGCGGCGCGGACCGCGGCGCAGCGCGCTCCCTTTAAACACGTACGCACGGAGAGACGGCCCGCACCACCGCTCAGTCACCCGCCTGCCCTCTCACCAACAGCGAAAGCGTAACACAGACGTATAACGGCTAACAGAGAGGTACTGCATCGGGCAGCAACAGAGAAAGTGCAGCGCGACGGCCGGGCGCAGCGCACCGGCGCCGCCCTGTCCACCGCGCGTGCCGTGGAATATGCGATTGTTAGTAGGAAAGCGCATGGTTTGGCGAAGTCACAATGCTTCCACTCGGTCGCAGCACCGCCCGACCGCCCCGCGCACCACCGCGCCAGGGCGGACAGGTGTGCGGACGCTGCCCTCTCGCGACGCAGCGGCACCCACGCAGCCACACCCGTCACGAAGTAAGCTCAGTTAAACAGCCGGGAGCCAAACGCCCGCGCAAATCAACACGTTCCCTCGTAAAAGCGGCAGTCCTGGCCTCAAAAAGCAGACTATCCTACCGGCGCAACACAGTCGGCGCGAAGCAACAGAAACGACTCGCGGCGGGGTCGCGCCCGACCCGGCCGCCTCGCGGCGTCCTCAGGTACGTCTCAGAGCGCGGTCCGGGCCGCCTTTCCAACGGTCCGTGGCCCGCAACCGCTGGGCACTCCGCCGCGAGCGGGCGCGCTTCCAGCGCGGCTGCACGCGGCGTCGGCGGGCGTCGCTACCGGACACGCTATCACAGGTTCCGGTTCAGGCCGGCGCGACCGGCCGCCAGGTCACCACCAGGTCCCCGCACGCTCCGAGATCGCGGCGCGCCCAGGCCAGAGCCGGCCGGACGCCGGCGTCGGCGTCAGCACCCGGCCGGCCCTATTTGAGCGCCGTTTCGCACACGCTCCGGCAGATGCTCTCCAGCGAGTCCAGCCGGCCGGCCGGGTCGACGGCCGGCGGCGGTGGTGGGGGCGGCGGCGGCGGCGGCGGCGCGGCCGCCGGGATCGACTGCAGCGGGGGAGCGGCCAGGCCGTGGCGCACGGCGCCGTAGCTGGGCGGCGGCGGCGCCGAGAACAGGCTGCCCGCCGTCGGCCGGTAGATGTCGCCCGAGTTGGTGCGGTACAGGCCGCCGGATAGGTGCGGCACCTGCCGGGAGACGAGCCGTCACAAGCCGAGCGCGGACCGGGACGCGTGTGGAGGAGGCGGTTGCGATATCGCGACAACAGGCGGACGCGGCAGGGGTGTCACAGTGGGCACGGAAACGCAATAGTGGCAGCGAATGTTTGAGATTACAAGCCACGAACCAATCCTAGCCCAAGGGGTAGCTTGCATACAAGATCAGTTGCACGCATGGCCTTAACCAGCCTACGTGTATGGCACGCACAGTCACGGCACCAACACCGCAGGCCGATGTAACCGGCTGCAACAAACTACCCTGTGTGCAAGGCTAGTCACTGAGCCAAAGACACAAACCGGCTCACCGGCCACGCCAAGTCTACATAGAGTACCGCCCCGCAATCGCCATGCAGAGCATCTAGCAAAACGGTTGTCGCTCTCTCCCACCCTGACCAGCCATACTCCCTCCATTTATCACTACCACCGCACCGTAACCAGGCAGACCCGCTCACCGCCTGTCCCCCGCCCCGCCCACGGCCGTCACCTCACCTCCAGCATGCTCTCCTGCAGGCTGGTGCGCCGCGGGAAGCTGAGCCCGAGCGAGGCGGGCCCGAGCGAGGCGCCGGCGCCGGCGCGCGCCCGAGTCGCGCCCGCCGGCGCCTGCTGCGTGGCCGTCGGCGCGCCGCCCCAGTAGCCGATGCTGGGCGCCGGGTAGCCGCCGCCGAAGGGGACGGCGGGCGGCGCGGGTGCGGCGCGGCCCGAGCCAGCCGCCGGCGCCGGGAAGCGCCGGTAGCCGCGGGCGTCGCTGTGCCGCCGCTGCGAGTGGTACTGGCGCGCGTCCGAGTGGCGCCGGAACGGCGGCGGGAACACCTGATGGGAACGGGTAGTGGAGGTGAGGTGGCCACTCGGCGGCGTCAGACGGGGAAGACCGGGACCACAGCAATGGCAGCCGCCAGTCCAGGCCGTGGCGGTAGAGCAGCCCTCGACAGCCATCACCGAAAAAAAATACATCGCATTCAGTTCGTCACAAAGGTTTACACCCAGCGTTGATACCACACCAAACACACAGCGCGTTATTACCCACGTTCTAAACGAAACGGCACCCGGCGTCAGCGATGCGCGATCACATGCACCGTGGCACCCGGCCCTCGCTCTCGTCCGCCTCCCGCTCCCCCGCCTCCCGCCTCCCGGCGCCCCGCCCCACTCACCTGTCTCCGCCCCAGCTCCAGGCTGATCTGCCGCTTCCACGTGACGAACTTGCGCCGCTGCGCGTCCGTGAACGCCTCGTGCCACGTGGCCTCGTCGAGCACCCAGAGGAACGTTTGGATGGCCTCGTCGTCGGCCGACTGCGTCACCAGCAGCTGCGTGCACATCTTGGCCAGCACGCGCGTGATCATGGCCTGCAGGTCGGCCTCGGCACCGGCCGCCTCGCCGTCGGCGCCGCCGGCCGCCGCCGCCTCCTGGTCCGGCTCGTCGGAGCGCGTGACGCGGATGACGGGCGTGCCGGCCGAGGTGGTGGGCGGCGCCGGCGCCGGCGAGAGGCGCGGCTTGTGCGCGCGCATCGGAGACACGACGATCACCTGCATCACCTCCAGCGCGCTGCTGAGGAAGATCTTGTTCTCGGCCAGGCCCTGCGGAGAGACGGGCACACTAAGTGGCGAGGGTGGCAAGGCGGCGGGCTCAGCACGCCGCCGGAGCAGAGCGTGGGACAGCGACACCGAGGCTCTCCACCAGCGCAGCCTCGGACGGCTGGGGGCTAAGACGGAGTGCGACACGCCAAGACTCAATCAAACTGAGCGAGGTCATCGATGGGGCACAAGCCCTGTGAGTACGATGTCTACGTATTATCATCTACAGTTACTCTCTCGCCATAAGCACACATGCTCCGAATACACATAGTGCCTTACCCCATCAACACGGTTAGTCTATATCTGCGCATGGCTCTTGGCTGGAAGCTCTTCTACTTCCCTATCTCAACATCATTACACCAATCACTTTCAATTCCCCTCCCCGCCACATCCACTACTCTACCCTACAGCAGGGTACAGCAACGGAGACCTACCCTACCATCTACCCCACTGTAGAGAAGAGTGGCGGGTGTGCCGAAGTGTCTGCGAAGACAGCGTCTACCTCGGCCCCTCCCCTCCCCGGACCGGGACCGGACCGAACCGGACCGGCCTGCCGGCTGACCTGCTCCAGGTCGCGCAGCTTCTGCGGCCGATCATGCAGCTCCTGGATGTTCCGCAGCAGCTTGTTGGCGCCGCCCTGTGTCACGCCCAGCGAGAGCAGCTTCTCCATCGACACATCAAACAGGTCCTCGTAGTTCATGCCGGCGAAGATCCATGTGTACTTGTGCAGGCGCAGCTTATGTAGCCACTTGGGCACGGCTGCGGGCGGAGGCGGCGCGTGACAGGACTGGGGGAGAGGGCGCGTGAGAAGAGAGCGCGAGCCGCTGGCTGCAAAGAAAGGTGGGGACGACCGGTACCTGACCGTTTCGGAATACATTCGACACAATTCACTGCGACATTGATCACGGTAAGGTGACGAACAGCGCGGTCGTGAAATCGGTCCGTAACACCTTTATGTAAAAACACGAACATTACGCAAAGCACACAGATGCACTCGAACTTTCACACTTCGGACCGCTCCCAAACACCGTTTTTATTGTTTTGCCTGTTCACGTTGGACACGTCTACCGGGTGGCCATGTCTGCCTGGCTAGAAGCTTACACTTCGCTATAGCTCTATATTCCTACCACGTCATCACACGCTACCGAAGTAGCATGCTCTAGATCATGCATTGGTGCGAAGTCCTGGTGAAGCGCACAACACGCACGAAGTACGAAGCGCCAGCAAAGCACATCCATGATCGCCAGGGGTCAACAGCGCAAACGCCCACGACACAGGGAATGAAACTCTCCGGACCCCTTCGCTCATGCCCACAGGCGATACAGTCTCCAGCAGGAGCAGGGCCAGCTCGCGCGGGGTTCGCAGGCAGACAGCCGTCATCACGTCAACCCGGAGCAAATACCGGCCGCGTGAGGGCCCGTCACCGCCGCCTGCACTTACTGGTGGTGCCGCTCCCGCGCACCGAGAACGCCTTGTCCCGACAGATGTCGCTCAGGCTGCTGTGGCTGGACGAGCGGTGCGGATTGCCGCCCAAACTCTGCGGCGGTAACGGACGTGACGTCACACCACGGCGGCGTGACGTCACGGTATGACGTGCGGACGGCATCTCCAGCTCTTGACAGCCGGCGCAGGCAGCACTCACGTGCGAGGTGGAAGATGTATCGTTTGAGCCCCCAGTCAGCATGAGAAACATGCACTGTGTTCAGAGATGGAGGCCCGCTCGCCATACGATGCAACTTCGCATCAGACACCCGAGTACTCAATTCACACACACGCACGCACTCTCTCTCCCTCCCTCTCCCCCCCCCCCCCTCCTCTCTCTCTCTCTCTCTCTCTCTCTCTCTCTCTCTCTCTCTCTCTCTCTCTCTCTCTCTCTCTCTCTCTCTCTCTCTCTCTCTCTCTCTCTCTCTCTCTCTCGCACCGTCCCCCCTCGAGCGGCTGTGCGGTTGTCGGGAGGCGGAGGGGCGGGGAGGGGAGGGGAGGGGAGGGAGACGCGGCTGAACCCTTATACCGCTCACCCCCTGAGCGCATCACGAGCAGACGCCTCGCCCAAGGCCGGGCGCGCGGTGCAGGTGTACCTTTTTGACGGGCGAAAGGATAGACATGCCGCGGGACGGCGCCGGCTGCTGCAGACCGGAGCCAGAGTGGGAGCCGGAGCTGGAGCCGGCGCTGGAGCCGGCGCCGGAGCCAGAGCCGGAGCGGGAACCGGCGGCGGGCGGCGGCCCCAGTCCCAGCGGACTGTGGTCCAGGTGGATGGACGAGCTGCGGGGCTTGTTGAGTAGCAGGTCCCCCTGCCGGGCGGCGGCCGCGTCACACACACCTGCTCGCCTCGGCACGGATCGCCGACACCGACTCACGTCCGGACCCGTCGTCCAGGGGTGACTGAGGGGATTCGGCGCTAGTCACAGGGAGAGGGCGGGCACCCCCGTGCGGGCACCGCTGACGAGTGGAGGCCGAGTGGGTCGGTCAGCACACTTCGGGACAGGGAGGCGGGGACGCCACGACGATCCTAAGGGGAAACGTCGGGTGACTGGTTTGGAGATAAACGTAGCCGTAATGATTATGCCCGAATGTGGATCACGAAGCCAATGTGAAACCGAACCAAAGAGAATCGTGATCGGGGCAAAATATGCGACGTTGGCATCGTGAAAGGGCAGCTGAATTGCCGTCAATATGCATACTAAAAACGAATGTGTCACAACTGGATGAGCTTTCAGTTTCCCTGAGAGCAACGCAAATAAACCACGACAGGGCGGTCGGAAGAAAGCTCCCAGGCATTAACAATCCAAATCACCACGCCATCCACTCATAATTTTACCCACACGCAGCCAAGAGCCAGGAGACACCAAAGTACCGGCACGATAAATCTCCACCTCCGCAGAGCGTCTCCACTGAGCGCATCGACGTGCGCTGGAGCGCACGGCGTCGCCACTGACCGGGTTCAGGTCGCCGGCCGGCCCGTACGTGCCCGGCGGCGTCAGACTGTTGGAGCGCAGCCGCTGCTGCTGTTGCTGCTGCTGCTCCTGGCTGAACGAGCTGTCCGGCGCTGGGGATCGGACACGGAGCCGCGTCAGACGGGCGGCGCCGCGGACGAGGCGGGGAGCGGCGCCGATCGGGCGGCACGCTCCGCCAATCGTGCGGAACGGAGACGCGACGGCGACAACGGCGGCGTGACTCACCATCGCGCACACCGGCGGCGAATTCATCAACGATTTCAAAGGGGCGAAGGCATTCGCCATACAATTCTGTGCCGTGATGGAGCAAACATCGAGGACGACTCGCAGCCAAAGCGGATAAACAACTTCTCCCGGAATGACTGCTGTACAGCGATAGCAACTGAGAGCGGCAAAGCGCAGCAAAGGCGCACGACACAGGGGAGCGCGAGCGGCAGTGGTGACCACGCCGGCCGCGGCCCGGGGCACCACCCCTGTCCTGCCCTCCGTCGCCACGCGGCTGCGCGGCCGGCCCGCCACGCACCGTGGCTGGGGCTGAGCAGGTTGCGCCCCTGCCAGGCGGCGGCGTCCGGCTGCGGCGGGCTGAAGGCCGGGCTGGGCACGCGCAGCTCGCCGCCGAACGCGGCGCAGGCGCTGTGGCGCCGCTGGTCAGTGGCCAGCAGGCGGCCACTGGCGCCGCCGGGCCGGCGGTCGGGCGAAACGCGGCTCGGCGAGGCACCGCCGGCTGCCGCCGCCGCTTCGGCCGCGCCGCTCGCCTCGGCGAACTCGGCGAACAGGCTGTGCACGATCCTGGTGGCAAGGGATGGGGGGGGGGGGTGAGCGGTCCGAGACGGTCAGGCGGAGGGGGGGGGGGGGGGGGAACGCCCAACGGAGCGTTACGGCGCGGTAAGCGAGAGAAACGGAGCGCTGTAACTATGGCAGCGAGCGTGGAGATCTAACGTCGGAGCGATCGGAGCTAATGATCTCCAGGCGCTGTATCGCCTATAGCTGGCAGTCTCGGCACACGCTCTCTCGCACAACGCAGTCTAGATTTACCATTAGGGCCCGGCAACTGACACGGACAACGCGTCCCGCCGGCATACTGGTGACAGCAGCCGGACCAGTATTGACCCAGCCATCCAGACTTCCAGCTGACGCATCAAACACTTCCAGGTACTTCCATCCTGTCCATCACCGCATGCTCGCTAAAACCCAACATCAAAGCGCTTTCTTCCCGATGTCTGGCAGCTCGCAGCCGGACCGCTACAGCGCCTTCAACATTCCACCTCCGCACATTCCCCAGGTGCTTTCACAGCGAGCCGCGTCAGCACTGCGTCGCGAAGCCGTTCGACACCACACATCAGTTGCTTAGAGCACCTCCTTTTCGATTCACCCACTCGGGGCAGGGTGGGCTCGAGTCAATTTTGGAGCTCGCTTTTCGCACCTGGGATGGCCAGCGGCCGGTGTCAACCGCCGCGCTAAAGGTCGGGTGACGTTGGAGGCCACAGCGGCCGAGCTGAGCACTGCCGCGCTGCACGCCTTCATCGTGACATTTCGCCGTTGACCGGGAGTTTCACGATCGGGTAGCGACGGCAGGGCTCGGGCAGCCAGCACCGCGCAGCGAGAACGCCGATCCCAGAAACCCATCCAATCAAAACGCGCGGACTTAATATGAAACAAAACAAACTCCGTCCCTGCGGCCGATACCAGCGCCGCCCCTCCGCTGCCAAGTACCGTTTGTCGTCGCGCGTGAGCACGGGGTGGACGGCGAGCAGGCCGAGCAGCTGGCGCGCCTGCTCCAGCCGCGCGGCGCCGCCGGCCGCCATCGCCGCCCGCACGGCGCGCAGCACGCCGTTCAGGTACAGCGGCTTGGCCTCGTGGTTGGTGAGCGCCAGCAGCGGCAGGTGGTCCTGGAGGAAGTCTAGCGCTTGCTCCGGTGGCGACACGCTGCACTCGCGGTACACCACCTCTGCCGAGCGAATGGTGGGGTCAGTAGGGCACAGGCGCCGGCCGTACATCAGACCCGACACGCTGCACTGGCGGTACACCACCTCTGCCGAGCGGATGGTGGAGTCAGTAGGGCACAGGCGCCGGCCGTACATCAGATCCAACACGGGTCTCCGGGGGATGAGAAGGCGCAGGTGCCGGCCCTACAAGGGACACGGAGGTCACAGTCGGATCACTCGCGGTACACCACCTCTGCCAGCTGGCTGGTGCCAGTATATCACCTCTACACAGATCAGTAGGGCACAGGCGCCGGCCGTACATCAGATCCAACACGCTGCACTGGCGGTACACCACCTCTGCCGAGCGGATGGTGCGGTCAGTAGGGCGCAGGCGCCGGCCGTACATAAGACCCGACACGGGTCTCCGGGGGATGAGAAGGCGCAGGTGCCGTCCCTACAAGGGACACGGAGGTCATAGCCAGCTCACGTAGACTGGTACCATGGCAGTATATCACCTCTACACGGATCAGGAGCACCGGCATCGTGGAGCGAAGAGTAAGGGCAAAGACGTACGTGCTGATGCCACGACAGAGCAGGACAGGATAAGGCCAGCGATTACGGGCAGGTGCTGCTGTCAGGCACGGCAACACACCACCAGGTATTGGTGCCAAGACACTAGCGGTACAGCACTTTTCAATGGACGCAAACATTTCTCTGCGGACAGGCAGCACCGGAGAAAAGCGATAAACCGACGCCATCACGACTCTATGGGACCCTTCTCATCAATTATCGGCGATTTTCCTATTTAGCCCTGCAACGCGGGTGGAAGTCACCCGCGTACGCTTTTAGGGCAATGGGTAACGGTGAACAGTGAATTCTACCCAGCACATGATCCGGATGGGTAAAACATCCGTTGCCTCGTCCATTTAAACCTTGTGTACACCAAAAAAAATTTAGTGGGTCACTTGCACCATCTAAATGATAGAACTACTGCTGTTTCAGTAAGTCTTGATAATTATTAATAAACGTACTCATGAAGCACGTGGCCAGACTCGCAGCTCCACGCTCACGCTCCGCGCCGGATTCATAGGCTGAACATTAACACCAGCACCAGCCGCCGCATGAAGTGCACGTAGATCACGGCAAAAGCCATCACCGCATGGACGTTTGCATGCGGGATTTAGCGCCGCTGACGACTCTCCTAATGCAGGGAATCCCGCGGCCACAGCCCGCACGCGTCAGCGGAGCCACGCCGGCGTGCCGCCTCGGGGCACCCGGCAGCGGCCGGCTCCAAGGACGCACCAGTGACGTTCGTAACCGGCCCTCGCGCCCGACCAGTCGGCGGGGAGCGCACGGGACACGCCGGCGCCGGACGCGGCCGGTAAACAGAGGGCGCCCGGCGCCCGCGGCCGTCAGTCGCCCTCAGCACCACGCGACCTCCAGCGGCGCGGCGTCCCGCTCAGCGGGGTGGCGGCTCACGCCACGCGCACGGCATGGGCGCGGTCGGCGGCTGGCTGGCTGGCCAGCCACGCGCTTGGTCACGGCCAGCGGGCGCTCTGACCGGCTGGCGACGCTGACCCGTCTCTCTGAGGCTCGGGACACGTCCGGACGGTTACCGCGCCGCCGCCGGCGCCGAGCCGCGCCGTCGCGAGAGCTCCCCCGTCCCCTGCCCCGCCTCGTCTCCACCCCCGCTCCACCCTAGGTCACCGATCGCGCCGGCTCGAGCCGCTGAGACGTCCGAGCCGTCTCGGCCGTCGAGCGCCATAGGCGGCTGGCAGCGGCTCCGTTTACGGCGCCGCCGCCGCCGCTGCCAGCCTTTGGCCGGCGGCTGTCGTTGCAGCCGCTGCAGCGGATCGCCGGTCCTGGTGTCGCCAGCCGTGACCGCGGTCCCCCGCCCGCCGACAGCCGGTCCCGGCGGCCGGCGCTGGCCACGGCTCCGTCACCACCACATCACGCCGGTCACACCGCCACGCCACGGCCCGCGGTAACCCCCAGAGGTCACGGGTGTGGAGTGCCGGATGCGGGGTGCAGGGTGGAGACGACCACTTTCGGACAGATATATCCAGCCGGCTCCTGATCCTCGCCTCAGGCCACCGAGCGGACCACCCTGTCGCTGCACGAACCAGAGTCGCCGCGTGAACCGGACAGTCGCCACGTCAACCGGACAGTCGTCGCGCGAGCCACCGATCACATCCGTCGCCCGCGTATCGAAGCGCTCCGCCGAATAGCTGGGTACCATGTCTCATTGCAGTGGTCCGCGTCATGCCACGATTCTGTTT